AGCTGGAACTTCCGCACATATCTCTTTGTTAAAGGAACGTCTCGTTCGATGAATTTCACTGTATTTTCAAGGGGAAAAAAATCTAAACCAGGAAAGTAATAAGAAAACAAGTGTTTTTATTTTATTTACTTCAATATAGATCTGAAAAATGTGGCATGCACTTGAATTCAGCCCCTTTTACTCAAATACCCCTTAAATTTAATGCTTTAATGATGCAAAACTGCAGAAGGATCAGGGATGAAGGTGTGAAAAAGTTTAAATTAGAATACCAAACAATATCTCAGCTTTGTAGCATTTGTTCTGGTCATTCGATTGTCTGAAGGTGGACAGAGGGCGGTTCAGCAACAAAGCTATCCTGACATGGCTGACCAAGTGGTAAAAGGATTTTAATTGTAAAAGAGCTGCACAGATCCATGGCTCAGGTAGGAGACAACAAGTCATACTCTCCACTCTTCTGGCTTTTATGGAAGAGCTAAAAGAAGAATTATGGATGGATAGTGTGCCATACAGCAGAAACTCTGTCATATGAGACAAAAATCTTTTTACAAACAATTCAAAAGTATGCTGAAACCCCTTGGATATGGTGCTGAAAACACCAAAACAAAGGTCACACAGCGGTGGCAGCATCATGCTGTGGGGAGGGCTTCCTTTAGTAGGGTTTTTAAGAGTTCTCAGCATGATGGCGCAGAAAGAAAACCTTTTAGAATCTATAGGAGACTAGATACCAAGTCTGAGGTTCGCCTTTCAGCAGAGCAATGACCATAAATAAACGTTCAGAGCTACAGATCAAAGCATAGCACTGTCTGGGACTGGAGCTGTTACCGCAGCAAAGCTTACTGATGTTTTTATTCAGGGGGTTCGACGCAAATGCATTCCATGTAGTTTTTTTAATTTTCTCTGTTATATGAAACTTTTAGAACTTTATATTTATGCTAGTCCAAAAGTTTTTTAAATAATTCTTGAAAGGAAATTTGATCAAATTAAGGATTTTAATTTCCAGATCAGGGATATTTTTAAAAAGTATAACCAAAACATCAATAACTTCCTCTTTCAAGCTCATATTATCCTAAAATTGATCCTAGATTATTTAAGTCTTCTTGGTTACTTTCTTTTTCTCTAAACTCTCCTTAAGACACATCCCATCAAATCTGAGGTTTTTCTGCCTTTCGTGCTCACTGCTGCTTTCTCATATCTCTCTCTTCCTCCTTCATCCTCAGGAATCTGCAGCTGTCACTCCCATTCAAAACCCTCTGGTCTTCCCATAGCAGCTGGCCGGGCCGGGTTTGTGTGTGTGTGTGTGTGTGTGTTGGCATCAATGTGCTGCCTGCCTGCAAATGTCGCCAAACTATTTCTATATATACGCCCTCGCTTTACTGGTGCAAACTCAAGTGTTCAAGAGTAAATGGTGGTGTGTGTTGCTGTCAACAAGTTAAAGACATACTTGACAGCTTGTGTGTCTTCCTGTCTCTGTGTTTATGTGAGTGTGTTACAAGGAGAGATAGATGGGGACTGGCCACTTGGTAAAAACAAAACAAAGTGTTAAGTGAGGACACCAGAAGAACCTAAATCATCCACGTGTCTCTGGATGAAATCTGACTCTGTCTCAGGCTTTTTACCAGACTGCTTTTTAAGGAAGAGTTGATGTTGTGCTCCAGGGAAGTACAAGAGGAGAATCTGACTTCAAAACTGCTCATTTACAGAAAAAGTCACATCCGCTCTGTATTTAAACACTTGCATGGCAAAACGTAGATCGTTACGCACTCTTAAGGGCTAATCATGAGGTTCCAGGGAAGCTACAGTAGAATTCAACTCATAACTTTCCCTTTGCCAGAGGGCATAGAAACTTTCACAAAGACGTAACTGAAAACATGTTAATGTTTTTCGACATATATTTTGTTTTTCTATACCAAAAAAGATATAAAGGAATGAAAACTAAAGTAAAGACGAGGCTGCTGTGGATCAACTAAAAAAATGTCAGAGAAAGAGATTGAAATTATTTTGACTTGCAAAGTTCTGAAAACATCCTATTTTAATTATAGTTCTGCAAAAGCAGAACCTCATTCAGAGAAACAAGTTTTAAACATATTTATTTAGCAAATGTGATTGTAAAATTTATTACTAAAAATTCTCTGAAACTTGAAGATGCTTGAGGTTTTTTGGATCTCCCAAAAACTCTCTGTAGTCGTACGGCTGCACCTTTAAGTCTGATTACAGACATTTTCTTTTTTTTTTTTTAGTTCATTAATCCATGGTACATATTCTGTGGGCGTGGTCTCTGAAGGCTTCACCAAATAGGGCCTGGATCTTTCACTTAGTCTTATAACTGCTAACTCATTCATGAAAGAGTTTTTAACATCAGATAATCTTTCTCATTCATGGATTTCAAACCTGAGCTAACTAAAGAACTTAGCCCACTACAACAAACAGGGAGTCCAGTTTTAAAACATCAATGTCTAACCAAGCAATGGTTGAATTTGATTGGTTCTGTAACTTGTCTGTTTGTGATTTTTATGAACAGAATCTTAAAAATAAAGTAGGGAAGAGAAAACCCTGCATTGCTTCTTTAAACCATGGGTATTATTATCATTATTATTAATGATAATAATACCTACTCAATTCTTGTCAGAATATGAGTCTGATACTGCTCCATAGAGCTGTGATTATGGGGCGCGCTTTGGTGACGTGGTTGATTACGTTACTGTTGATCATCTGTCCATCATCGTATAAAGCCCGCCCTAACAATTTGATTGGCCCGCCAGATATTGTGTGAGCATACTCGCACTACTATTAAGAAATGCCAGACCGAACTTCCCGACCTCAAACGTTGTGGGCGGGACTAAGTTCGGAATGGCACCCAGGCTACCTAAGTGTACCCTGATAATTAAAATTAGTAAACTTCCTGATCAGAAGTGAAAAATACTGTAAAAAACCTGAACAAAAAAGATTCTTGGAATTTTCCCTTTTCAAAAGAACTCAAACATATTTTTTGGTATATAAACACATAAAGAAGTTTTTTAAGGTTAATAGATGGCGGGAATGTTAAAGTTCTAGAAATACATAAAAGGAATATTTGCTAAATACTTTCCTCACATTTCTTTTAACCCCAGAAACACAGCAGTAGGAAAAAAAAATAGATTTGATCCAAATGGAAGAAACCTTATAATTTCAATAATATGTAAATATGTATTATTGTTTTTCACATGTTGGGGCTTCTTGAAAAAGATAATAAAAGATAACTTGATAATAGCCGATATATTACAAACAAAAGAAAATATCGACTCTATAAGGAAACTATAGCCATATTCAGCTTAACAATAAAAAAAACCATCTTCATCATATTAATGCACCTATAATCAGTTACAAGGCAGTTAAGAATTAATTACAACATTAACACTGCCGTACATGTTAAATTTATAATTAATAAATAGGTTTCATACATTAATACCCTTTAATTTAAGGGCCTTTTTTCTATAAATCTTTTCCTGTACTAAACCACCTGCTTATAGCTCAAACTTTCTGTTTTTCCACTGCACAAGAGACGAGCCTGGAAACTCCTGCCATCTCAACATATTTCAAGTATTTGCTGGAACAGAACAAAGAACCAGTTTTACAAGTTGCCATTTTTGGAGATGAACAACAAAAAAAATGCTGTGAATGCCATATTTAAAACTTCTGACTTCCACTTCACTCACGAGAACAATAACATCTACAATTTTAACCAAAAGGGGGAAGTTAGTTTTACTATCACCTGTAACAGAAAACTACACATGAAAGAAATCAAGAACAGCATTTTCTGCTCCATTTAATACTGACTGCAACCTGGTTCTTTAGCGTCACCAACCAATGTGGCGCAGGAACAGCCTTGGTGGAAAAACCCAATTAGGGGGCAAAATTTGCCCAAATTTAAACTTCCTCTCATTTAAACCTGCAAAATATTACAGCAGCTTCTCTAGCAGATGTGATCCCCTTGAATCAGCTTGTAAAACTGATAGATTAATATGTAACAAAACGCCTGCAAATCTAAACTAAAGGAAAAGGTTTGAAGACAAGCGCAGTACGTTCCTGCTGGATATTGAGGCTAATGCACCTTAACTTGACAGGGAAATCTTTGTCTAATGGTTCATTTGGCAAATCTCAATTCAAAGAATCACAAGAGAGAAATTGGAGCAAAATCCCAATTAAAAGAAAAAAACAAATCATTGTTTTTCCAGATTAAGGAAGTTTCTCAGTTCACTAGAAGGCAAGTATGGGGTAATGTTCTCGCCAAGTACGTTCTTGACGAGAACACAGGAAAGTATGGCCACGGGGAGAGCAGGAACAAGCAGGATAAATATGAGTCAATTGGAAGAAAAGCGTACTCGTGATGTCATCACATTCACAGCTCATCTGGAGCTGCATTTATTGATAGTTTCTATATATTAATAAATTATGACTTTTATCATGGGGGGGGGGTAATACAGTCAGATAAACGCAAATCAAATGAATTTTTTGCCAAATAAAACAAAAAAATCGCCATCAGAGCCTGCGGTTCTTGACACACGGCTATGCCGAGACTGGGCTGAAGCAGATGGGCTGCGGTTAGACCAGGCTGCCGTTAGCCTCAGTGGTCCGCTGGTTGCCGCAATCCTCTCAACATCGGAACTTTTTTGTAAATTACACAGTAAACCTCAAATGGTTTTAAAATGTAGGTTTCTAGAACAACGGCGAAAGAAAGGTGAACTTTTAACTCAATACTCTGAGCTCTGTTAGCGCTCCATTGGAAGCTGCTGCTGCCGCAGTGCATGCTGGGACAGCTGTTTGGAGAACGGACAAGTCTGCTCTGATGCATGCTGGGTAAAGACGGAGGGGTTAAAACAACATCCGGGGACTTTGTGCGTTCTCGGCTTGCTGTTCTTGTGAATTGGAACAGTACTAGGGCTGAGGCTGATGACGTTTCACGAGTACACGAGCACATGAGAACGCACAAGTACACATAGTGAGAAACAGCGTTTGTTACCGACCTTGTTTCAGTTCCTGATGTCAGCACAACAGCCGAATCCAGAAGGTGATCTCCCGACGGTGTCTGAAGAAGAAAAAGATTGATAACAATATCAGAGCTGTGCGGTAAACTATCATGCCACAAGAAGTTATGCAAAATTGAACTCAGAGTGTCGAACGTTTTGCAATATCTAGCTGATGCAAGCATGACTTCGTCGGATGGAATAAATCCAAACTTAAGTGCTTTGAGTTAAACGACATGTTGACTTTTTTAATAATGGTTATCATATGCCTGGTCAAAGCATCAAACCTGTTTTAAATGTTTAGTAGTGTAGCACAAAGTTACACAGTAAAAGCAAATTTATAACTGTATGAAAAGGGCCGTCATTCTTACCGTCATCTGCTAACAATGCTAATGTTAGCATCTATTTTGGGGCATTAGGAGTAAACTATAGACCTATTTCTGACTTTTATGCAGTCTGGACTGAGTTTAAATGTGTCAAACTGTAAATCTAAAGTACTTGAACCACACTAAATGCAGATTATTTAAAAGTCATTCTGGAATTTGTTAGAAAACAGAGAAAACAATCATAGTGTTGCTTTTTGGTACCGCAGTAAAAAAAAATCCAAAAGAAGACTAATTTATAGACCCATATAGTTATTATGGAAAACATTTAAATGATTAAATATCTTTTAAAAGACAGTTTGTGTTTTCTAAAACATTGATTGTTTTGTGAGAACAAACCATTGGGTTCCTTGCTTACAAGAACTTTTATAATGTTTACAGAACAAATACTAAATTTAACCTTAATTTGTCAGGAAGATTTTTATTAAACAATCCTTAAACATCCCAAAATGGATAACAGGAAAATGAGCAAACATCATTAGATGATAACATCCTTTTCTGCTGCATCTCAGGTTCTTTAACATTCCACCATCATACCACAAAATCTTTATTTATACAACTCACACGCAGGTTACATTCACACACTCTATAAACAAATGAAGGTCTGTCATTCTGTCATGCTCAACTCAGTGATGCAATTTGCCTAAAGCTGGAAGCCCTAAAACAACTTAGCCATTGTGGGCATGCCTCTGCCGGTGACACCAGGTGTGCAGTCCTGTCCAACCAATCGCTGCAGAACGTCCCAGTCATTCCTAAAGACCTGTCTCATCATCGCTCATCTTTGCTGTTGTCTTAGTAAAACCAGTCAAACACTAAACTCAGACTTATTAAAAATAACTTTGATTAATCTGAATCTAAAAATGTTAAAAAGGAATATATGAATTTGTCCTTGTGTTTTTTTTTTGTACATACTTGAAAACAACCACTACAACTTTTTTTTTTGTAATGCTTTTTTTAACTGCTCCCCTTTTTAGATATGGTAGTTTTTCTACGAATGTGGAAAGTGTCGGAAAGCAGACAGGGGCAGAATAATCTATCTAGACCTGAGAGAGGTTAACCCAAACCCACATAAGCTAATTTTGGATTTCAATAAAAACATCAGTTGCTGGTAGACTCGAGGAAACACAGGCCCTACAAACACAGGAAACGGTCAAAAAGCAGCGACAGAAATATCAACTTCATAAATTTTTTTTCCACATAACTTAGGTCAAATATTCATAAATTCTTAATATTTAAAAATGTATATGTTAATCCCAAACAGAGGGTAATCGTTGGAGTGCTGTTACGGCCTAAAAAAATATCTCACGTTGAGAACTGTCGTGTATTTCTTTAAAATCTATGTTTATATTACAGATTTTTTTTTATTAATTTGAGAAAGTTCAAAATGCCTCTCTTTGCAATTAGATTTTGGGAGTGTCAGTAAATGCAGTTTAACAATGTTACCAGGTGACTATGAACCGATCAGAGCGTTAGGCTAGATTCTTAGAACAGAATGATTTCTGAGATCATTTTCTCCAACTGAATAACAACAAAACTGATCTAATGACCTTCGGACCAAAGGAGGAGAGATGAGCTCACAGTTTCAGGTATTACAGCTAGAAACCACTGATTACGGCCGAAATCTTGGTGCCACGATGGACTCAGACCTGAACCTTCAGGACATAGAGGCGATACAAAGTCGGCCTTCTATCACCTGAGGAGTTGATTGAGTCTTGAGGAACCAAGCAGGAACTGACATCCATCAGAGCAGAACTCTCTAACCCTGAAATCCCCCATCCTCCATCAACAGCATTCCTTCGTGTGATTTAGATTTTTAGTATTTGGGGAAAAAAATGGAAGAAAGTTCACATATCTGTATCAGAGCGCTACCTGTTTGATCTGTGGACGGTTTTCCATCCTTGCAACCAAACTAGCAGCAGTAGTGGAGTTTGGAGATGCAATCCACTTCTTAAATCTATCTTTGCTCTCCTCTAATTTATCCGGAAGTCACAGTTTTTCTCCTACTCCCAACTTTGAGATGGGCTGCATATTTAGGATGTCTTTCCTGGAAATGCCTTTCCAAATTTTTATTTTTATTTTTTGCCAACCTCTCATTACAAAGCAAAAATGCAGTCAATCCTTCAGCGTTGATAATGAAAGCAAATCATTCGGTCTATTTGAATCCTCTTTTCTCATTCGCTATCTTCCTATTTTTCCCCATTGCAATCCATGGTCCAAGACATACCTGCAGCTTTGTTTGCCTGGCATCGCGCCATGCTGGTTGCAAGTTATGACCACTGATCTCTATGGCTATGACAGAAATTATTTTTAAATTTCTTTATTATTATACGAATGCTTACAGCATTGGAAAACATAATACATTTTTGTTTGACCTCCTGCACACCATATTAAAACAAACAAACAAACAAAAAATCGATTTTCATAAATTTTGGAAAAAGCTCCAGGGAGCTGGAAGGTGAACGTTAAAGAGCCGCATGCTATGAGTAGGTTTCAAGTTCCCGGTTCGATCCCCACAGCCTGCAACCTGAGGCAAGATTATCAACCTCACACTGCTCCACAGGCGCCGCACAGTGGCAGCCCACTGCTCCTCAAGAGGGTGGGTTAAAATGCAGAGGTAAATTTCTCCAGTGTGAATTCAATTATGTTCAATTATGAGACAGATGATCCAAAACGCTGCGGCCTGTGTTCTCACAACAACTAAGAAAGTAGAGCAAATCAGCCTGGTTCTGAAGTCCTTCCACTGGCTTCCTGTAGCTCAGAGAAAAGACTTTATTCAATACGTCTATAAACCTCTCAGACCAGTCAGGTCTTCTAGTTCCAGCCTACTCTCTCCACCCAGAACTAGAACCAGGCATGGAGAAGCAGCATTTAGTTCTTATGCTCCACTGATCTGAATCAAATCCCCAGAAGACTAAAATTGCTGAAAGCCTGAGTTTATTAAAGTTAAGAAACCAATTTGTTTAGAGCTGCCTTTGACTTTAAGTTAATCTGTTAACTAAGGCATTATTATAAGGTTGTGGTCTAATTGTTTTATCTGTTATACACATTTTAAATCTTTATTTATTTATTGTCAATGTACTGAATTGTGCTATACAAAAACTTGCCTTGCTTTGTGTGGTAACCAAAAAACCCTTTAGTGTGGGTGTGGGGGAAAAAAGCTCAACTATTTACAGCATCGGTGAGGTGTTATAAAGTGAAGTCAGAGCCAGACTGAGGGTGGTAATATCTTTCTCCTCCCCTGAGTCAAACCTTTCCTTTTTACATATTTCTACATCTTTGCCAAATAAAGAATTTCTTTCATCATCATTTTATCATCAGCTAGTCAGTATTCACACTGCCTGCACACTGTTTCTAAAAAGTTCAAATGGACTACAATTATTTTATACACGTTTATTAACATCTTAGGTTGGTCATCTAAAAATGGCGTCATGTGCAACACAAATACCGCATATGGCAGTTATACATTTTCTGTTGGAATGAGGGTTAAAACAATAGAGTCCGTTTAGATGGTTAAAAATGTCCGGGGGTACGGTGACTTATGAGCTGGAATTTAAGAATCTGACGTCTGAGATCATTTAGGGGAGCATTCCTTAGCCTGTGGAGCCAAACAACAACAACCTTTTGCGGCAGGTTATAACTCGGAGCCCCATGAGAAGATCTCAGGCAGCGAATCGGTACATGAAAGGTTAAAAGTTCAGGTAAACAGCCAGAGGTCTGACCATTTCAAAACAAGGAATAAAATCCTGAAATCCATTCCAAGGATAAATATTAGCCAGTACCAGCTTATTTTTATTTTATTTTAAATGACCTGGACTGCATTTGATCACGTTTACTTATATGTATAATACTCAAAGCCGTCACATTGAAACTTGACAGTTTTCAGACTTTTGATGACTTTTAACATGACTATTTTAAACTGCTGGAGAAGGCAGCACAACAAGTATCCCTGATAAACAACAAAAGATGTATGGATGGATGGATGGATAGATAGATGGAAATTTGTGGAGTGTTTTCTGATAATTTATTGGTACAATATTGTCTCAGGTATTGGCTTGGGGCTTAGTGGCTTATTGACACTGTGCAGTGGCACAGTGGACAGGAAGCAGGAAGGTTCCAGGTTCAATTCCCGGCCCGGGGTCTTTCTGCGTGGAGTTGGCATATTCTCCCTGAACATGCCTGGGCTCTCTCCTGGTACTCTGCCTTCCTCCCACAGTCCAAAAACATGAAGGTCAGGTTAATTGGCTTCTCTAAATTCTCCTAAGGAGTGTCTGCGTAAATGGGTGTTTTCCTGTGATGGACTGGCGACCTGTCCAGGGTGGACCCCACCTTTTGCCCTTAGATAGCCGGAGAATGCTATCTAAGGGCGACTGCAAATGGATGGTATTGGCTTGGATACTATGTCAAACTTAAATCCAAAAACGTAATCATCTACGCAATTTATTTGATCCTTTAGAGTCTAAAAACGTGTATCAATTAAAACGGTACATGACGCAAAGCATTGAAAGCTTGTAAAAAGTAGTATGTGTTTATTCCGAAGGCTACTATCTTTCAAGAAAAATGTATCAGGTGTAATGTGTTTACTTATTGATGAGTTTGTATATCCAAAAGCAGTGGCTAAACGTAAGGTCTTTCAGTGGAAACTTGTTTTAGTAAACTAATCAAATACGATAAACTCCAAA